TGCTCCAGTGAACGTCGTGGGACTGATACATAGTCAGAGAGACAAGGATGATACTTACTGCCTAATTGAAAGTACTGCAGACTTTTTAAGTTTTCTCTCTTAAATCATCTGCGTTTCATCCAGCAATGACAGGAACAGTAGTATTTTTGCCACAGGGTACTTGAACAGAGGAAGGATTGATTGTCTAGATCCCTGCTATTCTCTCAAGATAATATGTAACAAAGCCAAAATGGCCAACCGTGCTGTGGTTTGTTCCTTTAAATGAAGATTACCAGCATAAAACAAACTGCAGCAAATGGCACTGCAGTCAAGTGAGGGTGGTAATTTTATGCCTGTGGTGCACACAGATTCCTTAAAAATGGAGCGTTTTGTAGAAAAGCATTTAAACAACTTAATGGAATAACTGGATAGGCCTGGAAAATCAGTAAAGCACCTTGCTGTGTGCCTCTTAGTATTGCTGTATTACAGTATGAAATAGGAGAAGGGATGGGAAAAAATTCAAAACTATTGGTCTGTATTTGATTAGAATTAAGAGCAAAATATTTTTATCCAGGTGTACTTCCAACTGGTGGAGCCCTCTGGATGGTTAGAGTTTGTGAAAATCACTTCTGTACTGAATTAAAAAAAACCCCACGTTTTCTGTTACTGTGACAAATGTGTATTTACCTTTTATTTATTTATTTTTATTTTTATCCTGAATGGTCCAGCACTCTGTTTGAAGCTTGTTGAGTGTTAACCCAATTGCAACATAAATTAATAATATCAATTAACACTGCTAAATGCACAGGAAGGGAATTTCAGCTGCCTACCACACACACACAGGTATTGGTTAGAGTACTTAGATATTGTACTATGTCAGATTTCTTTTTTTTTAAGCTTCCTAAGTAGAATGAGTTTAACAATATATTTGTAGTAACAGTACACAATATTCACTTAATGTTTGCGCATTTTTAGACGCCTGAGATGAGCTCTGTTGCCACGTCACCTATAAAGCCTGCTCAGGAGGAACAGTCCCTGACTCCTCCGGGAAAGGTGATTGCCATCAGCACCAGGAGTCCAGGTTGTGCACGAAATCAATCTGCTCTTCGCAGCAACAAGACTTTTTCTCCTGGTGCTGCTTCCAGCTCCTCAGGTGAGTATTCATGAAAATCCATTTCAGGAGATCAGACCATTAGTACCTCATGCCATGATGTAGCACTGGGAGAATGAGTGTTCTCACTCTTAAAAACTTAACTGTTTCAGAGCATTGCTCAGTGTTAATTTGCTTTAGAGCTGTCCTAAGTTCAGTACTTCTTTGAATCTTGAAAAACAGTGCGTGTCAATAATACAGTTTACAGTCCAGAAGAGCTCTCACAAGTCACTCTTAGGGAAGCTGGCATTTGTTAGGAGCTGACTGATACAGCGTGTGGGATTTCAAGAGAGCGAACGCTTACAGAGCAGGAGAGTAAATATGTGGTGTAAAGTTTCTTGGTAAAATAATTACTGAAAATTTTCTGTGCCATTCTGCCATTACAAAATATGGAGTGATTATGAATTACCTTTTAATAGAAGGTACAGCTGCTACAGCTTGCGAGACCTAGCCATGCAGACCAAGGCTTTCGGTTCTGTTCTTCAGTCCAGTTGCATTTGCCAGCAAATGTTTTATGACTTCAGAAAAGTCTATGAAGGTGTCAGGGTTACTGGGAACAACTGTGATTCTTATGCTGTCCTTTTCACACCCATGCTGTAAGAAGCAGTGGACCATGAGCAATTTAACTGATGCTGTAAAACATCCTTGGTGCTCTGTGTGGTTTTAATTTTAAAATGGCATTACAGGAATTTCATCTTTGTCTAAAGCTTCATTGCATTTACTTGCAGACAAAGATATACTTCCTTGAATACCTAGTAAAAAGCCAATAACTTAGTAGATACACGGGCTTGAAGGACATATCTTTTTAAATCAGACTTAAAAGTAGAATGCAACTTCCTTAGTTTGCAAAATTCGTTTTACAACATTGAGTTTATGCTTCCCTAATGCCTTGAAAATCCTTTCTGAAGCCTTTTAAGTAAGGGTAGCGATCATCTGCTGAGGTTATTGGGCAGAAATGGCAAGGAGATGACAGTGCTTTTGTATCTGATCCTCTAGAAACAGACACCTGTTCTGTTTACACAGACCTTCACTGATTCAAAAACTAATATAATTGTCCGTGTTAGCCTTTGATTTGTTTGCATCCTTTAGTATGCAGTAATTTTCAAGCTGCTTTGTATCCTCACATACAGTGCTGTTAAATAACTGCAGTAACTTGGCTGTCAGAAAGCAAACTGCTAGGTTACTTTTGATTATGAGCCTTCTAGGTGTGCTCCCTCATAGACTTTGGTCCTGAGTCCACCTAGGGGCTAGCTGCTCTTTGGTTTCCATCCTTTGGGTTTTTTTTAATTAAAGATAAATTGGTTTGGCCTTCTCAGTAGAAAATAAAGATTAGAAGGTAGCCTATGTCCACTCCAGAAGAACTGAAAGTGTTAGTAAACTGACAGCTCCACAAAAGCCACATAGCTAGCTGGAGAGACAAAAAAAGCGGATAAAAAGAACCATGCAGAGAGATTTAGAAAAAGTGAAGCAACAGCTGTGATGCAACATCACCTATAGTGCTTAAAATATCATTATATAGTTATAGCTGCATCCCTTTATTGATTTTTTTAAAGATAATGTATTTAACAATTCTCTAACTACTGGTCAGGCAGGAGGCACAAATGTGTATGTTGTTCTGCATTGAATTGATTTTTGGATACAGTGTCACAGTGTAATTTTAACTAACCTGTGGAAAAACAGCAGAATCTAGAGCAGCAGGGTGGAGGTGGCAATTTCATATATTAAATGCGAGGAGGATAAAACGGGCAGGTTTATTCGTTAGGTAAATAAAGTCTGATGCTCTTCAAAACACTTCTTGAATACTGCTGCATGTACCTATCTCTGCCTTAGGGTGGCCCAAGCTTGTGCTGTGCGCAGGGAGGCAGCAGGCATGGCTAAGGCTGTTGCCCACTCGGCTTCCTCGCCCCTCTGGGCGCGTCAGGTGCCTGCTGCCCCGCAGCTGAGGTCTCCAGCCCAGCAGCGGAGGCTGGAGTACCATGAGAAGCATGGGTGCACCAGGAGCATGAAAATAGCTGTTACTGTCTATGGTAACAAACCCCAGCGTTACCTGTGCAGCGAGCGCTGCTGTGGGAGAGAGGCAGGTAGGCTCGGTTATCTCGGAACGGCATACCAGCAGGACTGCTTGTCATCCTAGCTGGATGCCAGCAGAGTGGGCACAGCACTGTGAAACCCTACAATATTTTTTAAACTTAAATGTAAATGGAGTTTTACTGGGACCAGATGCCATTATTTCCATGTGCCAAAAGTATTTTGAAGACAACTCATTTTTTGGAAGGTATTTTGGTAAATTGATCCCTCCTCTTTCATTTCTTTTGTGACCAGAATCACTTTATTGGGGTTGCACTTTGAATTACCACGGGGTGAGGAGGAGAGTGTAAATAAAATATAAACACTGTAGAATGAGTCTGTGTCTGTGTTAGCTTCCCCTACAAAAGGAATGGTGGATATATAGTTTGTTTAGTGGGAAGGGCCCTCAAGTATTTCTACAAGCTGAACAGATAAACTGTTTAACACAGTCGGTTAAATTCTAGTTTCTTTAGTAGTGTAAAATTGCATTTAACCCCCTTCTTCCAAGGATTTCAAAGCAAGCGAATATTTGCAGTGTCCTTGTGAAGCAGGTAGATACTGCCAGTTTGCAGGTGAGAAAACTGAAGTATTTAGAGTTTCACGGTTTGAGATCACAAACAGATGGTGGCAGAGCCAGAATCCTTTAAGTCCCAGCTCTCTGTATCATACTTCACTTACTAAGTAGTTACTTTTCTTTTTGTTTTCACTTTACTTCATTTACATTGCTGTTAAAATCTTCTAGGTTTGAGAAACCTCCCTAGACCTCTCTTGGTGGCTGGTCCTTCTAGTTCTGGAAGCACTGATGCAGATGGTGGACTATTTGCAGTTCCTACAACTCTACCACCCAACAGCCGCCATGGGAAACTGTTCTTGCCTAGCAAAGAAGCAGAACTGACCTTCCGGCAGCACTTAGACACAATCAGTGTAAGTGAGAGAACTGGATGAAAACAGTAGCATGTTGTGCCCGAGCCAGTTTCCAGTAGGTATTAGAGGGTGGTTTTGGTTCATCAGAGAGTATGGGCTGCCCTGGGAAGCAGTGCTTCTGGTGATGCTCAAGCATAACATTGAATAAGCTGAGGTTAGTCAGATTTTGACAAAATAACTGTGCTTTGAAGTGACATCACCTCTTCAGACCTGAACCTGAATGCCATCATGCAGCCTGATGAAACTGGCTCGCTCTCTAATTAAATTGCTCCAGCAAATGTATTTGCCAGGTTTAGCAAAACTGATATCCTTCTTATTGTGCAGCTAATTTTAATACAACCTCATTGCTGTATTTATTTCAAATAATAGTTTTATTTTTATATATACAGTCTTGGTAACAATTTCATAGGAAGCTGCAGTAGTTAAGTAGTGAAATGGCTTTTTTTTGGGAGAAAGCTGCATCTCCATAAAGCAAGAAAAAAAAAAATACACTCCCAGTGGAAAATTTTCCTACTCTAGCAGTATTCTACTGAATATTCTACTGTCTGAAACAAAACGCAGTATTTTAATAAATAGTCACAACTTTATTGAAAAATAGAGTTTGGGGGGTATAATTTATTCTGTGTCTGCATGCTTAAAATACTTTCTAACGCATCTCCTGTTCTTGTCCAGATGCAGTCGGACTTCTTCTTGCCAAAGCCAAGGAAGCTGCGGAACAGGCACCTGCGGAAGCCATTAGTAGTGCAGGTCAGAATGATTTGCAAAGTGTGAAATGCCTGTTTTGCTTCCTGAATAGATATCAGTAAGGCTATAATGATTTACACCTAACCGAAATAAAAACCTGAACTTCCCTCGTACATCTGCTGGAAGAGTGAAGCTGAACATGTGAAGGAACAAGCCAAGCATTTTAGCCTACGTTGTAATCAGCCATGTTGTATTCCCTATATGAGGAATGTCAATGACAGTAGGTGTCCAGTGCATGAGGCAGCTTGGGAAAAATAAAGTCTTTCATCCGAAAGCAGGTTCTGCTGTTTGGGCCTGCTGGTACTCATGCACAAGTGGTGTGTTCGTGTGGTACCTGATCGGTCCTTGTTAGAGCTGTTAGTGCTATTGCGACAACATCTCCCTTTACGTAGTTTTTCCGTTTTCCTACTCACTCATGGCTGTTAAACTGGGTGGGTATAAACCTCTGAGATAAAACATCGTGCTATTTGAAAGAACAATGATTTCTGGAAAAAAATGGGACTTGCAAAGAGATGTATGGAAGAGGTAGCCTGTTATCATGGAACTTTGGTGGTAGGCCGGCGTTAACCTCCCGTAGACTACTTTGATAACCCAAAAAAAAAAGCCGTATGCCACTGTGAAACCACAGGTGGAACATACAGGAAATCTAAAACCAAAATAATGGAAACTTGTTTGGAGAAAACAAAGTTACTAAGTGTCAGTATACCCTTTTGTCTCTTCTGCTCTGCTTAAGAAATTACATACATAACTATTTTTTGGTATTGAGATAGTCTGGTCTGTGCAATTCCATTTGTTTTAAGATCTCTCGAGTACATACAGCTGCCTCGTTAATTCACACTTGTTTAATTGTAATGGAAGATCAGTTTGCAGATGGACTAGATCCCATCCTTAAGGTCACTGCTGTAATTCTGTGGGAGATTTCAAAATTACTGCGAATATAGTTCTAATTAGCATTTCTCTGAGAATTGTCCCTGTGGAAATTCTCTTACAGAGAAAACATGATTCCTATGTGTAGCTTCTTTCTAAAGATTGCACAGGCTTTATCGCTGTGTCTGTTGCATAATAGTCGTGCCATGCAGATACTCTGCTTATTCTGGAAGGTGTCATGAACTTCTGTGCCTTAGAAGATGAGCTCTACCCTCTGTTCTGTGTTTAAATATGTTCTGGTTTATTTTGTTTCTCTCACGTAGAGAACACTGCTCCCCAGGCCATCTGGAAATCCATCCCAGCATGTCTGTTCCTTTTCTATCTTATCCAACTCATCCATTACAGGTGAGTCTGCATTATCTTCCGTCACTTTTATGCTGCCATGAGATAGACTGGAAAGCATCCGCTATAACTGCATAAAGGAATCATTTCTAAAAAGAGGAGAATATCCTTTCAAAACCCCAGAGTCATTTACCAGTTGCTCGAGTCACTTCCTGCAGGATGATGGGATTGTTCTCCTGGATCATTAAGCAAGCCATGATTATGGTGGAAATTTTTTTTTTCTGTTTCCCAGTATTGAAAGCAGGGAATAGTCAGGAGTTCTCTACAAGGAGACAAAATTTTGGAATAAATTACTTAAATAAGAATTTTTTTTCTGTAGGGCATAATCATTTGTCTGGATTTTATACTGGACTTTTCCTAGTATCTGGGATACTGTTTAAGTTTTGTACAGTATAACTAATGTACTGCCCATTTGTCCTTCTTGCTGATACACTCTTGAGTACAGTGGTAGTACAGGTGATCCCCCATCTTGGTGTAAGTCTCAGAATCAGCATGAGACAGCTTCAATAACACAGCAATGCTTGCTGTTGCATTTTTGTGATAAGGCACTGGTTAGCTTCAGCTACAACTTCAAGTCTGTTTCATCGTCTCCACTATTTGCGTTCGTGGAGCTTGCTACTGCTTGGAATTTGTTTGCTTCCATTGAAGTGTGTTGTGCTCTGCTTTAAAGGTGTTAGATTTCGTTTGCTTGAGAGGTCTTTAATCCTTTACCCTAGGGAGAGGTTCATTTCGGCCAATCCAGTCCTCACTGACTAAAGCTGCTGTTTCTCGTCCAATTGTGCCCAAAGTTCTTCCAACACAGGCTACCAACCATCTGTCTAGTAAGTCATTTCTTAGAGAGTCACGGTCTGTTGTGATCTATAGGATGTTACACTGTTGGTTTCTGTTTCCCAGGTAATATGATTAGTGCCTCTGGAAGTTAAAAGAAAACAGCTGTGTTAATGATACAAAGCCAACTTGTGTGGCTTTGTGTGACTGCAGAAAGGGAGCAGTCAGTGGTGGGACAGCCTGAACCAGGTTTCTTCGCTGTGTCTGACCTGCAGGCAAAGCAAGGGGTTGGAATTCATAACCAAAGCTGAGCACTTCTGTGATGTCTTGTTGTAAGACCACTTGAAAAGGGGTTGTGACATATTTGAAAGAGACTTATAAATAGTTTATCTACTAACGTGGGGTTATGAATTACCATGCCGGTGTACCCCAAGCAAATACTGTCTTGCAACAAAAGAATGGGTCCCATAGTGAGAATGATAAGTGAAGTGAAAACAATGCCTGCCTCTGTTTTTTACTTGGAGGATTCTCTGTGATGGAAAAACATTCAGATGTTTTAAGTGGATTTTAAAAGATCTGGGTGAGGTTGACCCTGCAACAACATATGTTTTTTTATATTGAGTTTAAGTGGCTGCTAGAGGCAAGATAACAAAAGAAGGCTCTGTGGATTTTATAGCTCCTCTAGTAAAGCATAGGAAACTTCTAGGAATGGCATGAGGAAATACTTAAAGATTTGCAGGACAAAAAAGAAAAAAAATAGAAAGAGAGGTCAGGGGGAGAACTGGAATGTTTTTCTAAACAGTTTTGATATACCTGATAACGTGTAATTAAACATTTTAGCTGAAAGAAGTGTTACACTTTGTGAAGGGGAACAGCTGATGTAGCTTAGCTGATCAGATAATTGCTGTTCTTGCTTTTTGTGTGTGTTAAGTTTTGACTCTGGGCAGTTTTTAACAAGTCATCTTTTAGATGAGTCACAACAAAGTAGTTGCCTGAAGAAAAGGCTTGTAATGTGGTTTTTGCTTTTTTTGTTTCACAAAAGGTGCTATCGACTTGGCAGCTAAGAGTGCTGGTATCATCCCTGGTAGCCCTGTCCCTGTCCTGGATGCGGATGGTTTGTCAGGTGTATCTCCACTGTCACCAGACGGAGTGACCACGGTGGTAACAGGGCAGGAGTCAACAGTAGCACATCAGAATGGAGGCTCCATCACCACTGTAGAGGTCAGAGTCTCTTGAGCATGTTTTTTGAAGTAGCTAAGTGTCTTGCTTTTTCATTGTGTAAAAAAGTTATATTATTAATGACTCTGCAATGAGCCTTCTCCTGGAGCTTGCTGTTAGACCCGTTTATCACAGCAAACCCAGATCTATGTTGTACCCTGTGTATTTCAGGGTTGAGGGATCAAGTCATCATCCACTAAGCAGATTTCCATCCTGTAGAATAGCTTTCAGCTCTGAGGCTGTTGGAGGTTGGCCATCCAGACATCTGGGCTTAAAAAGAAACAGTAGCATTTCAATAGGCAGTAATTCAGGAGGGAATTTGGGGCAAAACATGAACTTCTAGGGATGTGTTTGGAATGGAAACTGATCTCTGCTTGCTGTTTCTTTTACTGAGACCCAGATACATGTCAGTCCATGTCATTTTCTCAGAGACTTGATGGACAGTTTTGAAAGGCATGATAAGTTAGAAGAGCGTGCATAAGTGGTGATAGGCACTTGCCTCTTACCTCCCCAGTTACCTTTGCAGCACCTTCTGTAAACACTTGTCACTCACGTGCTTTCTGTTACACTTCTAGAGCTCAGGCCCTGGGTGTCGGGTGCCGTTCATCAGCCTACCAGCACGGCATGAGCAGGAGTCTGTTCCTGATGGTTTCCAGGTAGAGTATGCGTTGAAAGAACAGTTGTATGAAATGGATAGAGTTCTGAAAAAGAACCCACTGGTATTACTAGTTAACACCCCTTGTTCCCAGGTAGTTGTACATCATTGGTACTGTTTTGTGAGAACTGAGATCTCTAGCATCTGGAGAAATTTAAAGAAAGAAATTTAGATGTAGATACTTAAAAAGTAACTGTGGCAGCACCTACGTTGCTAGTGTTGTCATCCTATCCCCCCCCAACTTCCTTCTCCAGTGGGATCCAGGACCTTGTGTTAGATACTTAAGCCTCAGAATACAGGTTTTTCTCTTTCAGTGGAGCACTTTCCACCCTTTCTGTGACAGGTACATGCAAAAACAGTTCACGTGATTGGAGAGCATAAAGGAGGGGAAGTGTGGGTTTGGTTTTTTGTTTGTTTTTTTTTTAACAGCAGAGATGTTAAGGCATAACCTACTAGGCATTTATTTGTGGTAATGGGGCCTTAGGTTCTGGCTCTTGCTCTGAGGACAGCTTTGCATATACTACATCAGGGAAGAGTCACAAACAGTTGTACGATGTACAATTAATGAGACTCCTTAAAAAAGATCAGTTGAGTTTTGGGAAGTCTGGCTGTAAAGAGGAGTGAGTTAGCAGCTTAAAATGCTTATATACTTTTCAAGAAGTTACAGGGGTTTTTGCCTATACAAAGGCAAATTAATACTTAATCACAGAATCACACAGAATCTAATTCTTAAGAACTATCTTGTAGGTTCATCAAAATCATGTTACTTTCATTATTATGCTTGTTTCTGTTATGTAGGCTGTATTAAACATTCTTTGGAGTGTTACAGGCCGGCATCTTTTCCAGATGATTTGGCGAGATATGGGCCAAAGCTTTTTTTTATGCTTACAGATATTTTTCATGAAAAGAATACAAATTTATTATATATCTAATATATTCCTAAAATTTTAGGAATATTATCTGCTGGACTATTAGTCTGCTTTTTTCTTTTTTTTTTCTTAAAGTCTGATTTTAATCTGATGCTTAGGAGCTAAGCTGTTGCTTTTCAGACAGATTTCCAAGTCCTTCATAAATTCATGAACAACTAACTATGTTTCTTATAACAGGGCACATCAGTCCTTTCTCTGTCAGAATTGTCCAAGGCGCCCCTCCCAAATGGTCTTTCCACCCCTCCACTTCCCTCAGCAGAGGCTTCCAGTACCCGACTCTCTCCTCCCAATGTTTCTGCTCTCTTGGATATTTCTCTGCCTGGACCCCCTGAAGATGTGCTTTCTCAAGGAGAACCCGCCACTCAAATCAGTGATTCCATCATTGAAATAGCTATCAGCTCTGGTCAATACAGTAAGTCTGAGCTTAGCTAAAGTCTTCCTATTAACGTAAAAATCCCTGTCGTCTTACATGTCTGCAGAAACTTTTCCAGGAAGCAGTTCTTGGGTTTGGTTTTTTTTTTTTTTTTTTTTTTTTTAATACTGCTTGGAAATAAAATTATGTGCTTAGCCTTTATTTTCTAGCCTATCTAGGTGGATGTTTTGTTTTTTTCCCTTCTAAACATAAGTTAGTGCAGCGTCCTATAACTTTACCATTGTGACTGAATCAGTGATTCCTGACATTGGCTTACAGGTGAAGGTGTTTCTCTCTCTCCTGCAAAGCTGAATGGCAGTGACAGCTCCAAAAGTCTTCCGTCCCCATCCAGTAGTCCTCAACAGAACTGGATTGCCTCTCCCAGCCATGATCCCCAGTGGTACCCCAATGACTCCACAGACTCGTCTCTCAGCAGCTTGTTTTGTAAGTGTCAGCATGCAGAGAACTGCAACAAAACAAAGATCTTTCCTTTAAATAAAAAAAATAAATAAAATCTGTTTCTTAGAAGTGAATCCTTTGGAAAATCGTAAACCCAGTAGGATTTTTGTAGAATTCTTCCCTTACTTCTTGCTTTCATTTCAACAGTGTTGCCTTGAGTACGTTTTCTTCCCCTTTACAAGTCTGTTCCTGAAAAGATCTGTTGCTAGATTGGGGCCCATACCTTGGGACGAATAATTCCTTGGCAGTTCTTTGTAGTCTGTTTGGAGCCTGACTCATCAGTTAGGTTGAGACATTTGGGCTGTTCTGCCAAAATGAAAAGATGCCCTCGGCTCTGCTGTTGGAGAAATAGGCTTTGTTCTGTGCTGGGTGAGCATAATCTCAAAGACATGAGATCACTGGGTTTGCTTGGCGTTTGGTTAGTGGGTTTTTTAGTTAATATTTAATGGGGCCAGCGTGATGAGTCTGTACTGTTAGCAGTGTGCTGATGGTGTTTGTGCTGGTAACACATAATTTTTAAGAGATAAAGGAAATAGATACCTGTCCTCCATTTTCAGTTTCCTTGTCCTTCTCTTTATCCTCCCAATTGCAAACTTGCAGTGCAGTGACTGACTGATGTGCCTGCTCTTTATAGCAAGCTTCATCTCCCCCGAGAAGGGACGAAAAATGTTGCCAACTCCTGTTGGGACTGCCAGTGGCACCTCCTTACTGGGACCCAGCCTTCTGGATGGAAACTCGCGGGACTCCTTTGTGTCACGGTCTCTGGCAGACGTAGCAGAGGTATGTCATCAAAGTACAGTCGGCTGTCGGCTTCCTCTTAGCGCAGTGTTACTGTACATTGTCCGTCATATCTTCTGAGATACTTAAGGCAAAGATGCTTTGACATCTGCACTTGAGCTGAGTAAAATGGGGTTATAGTCTTGACGGAAAGATGTAACATGACTTTGAGGGTATGTTGCACCAGAGCTGGTGCAAGAAGCTGTTGTGAGCCCCTTCGACCCAGGTTCTTTTTGCTCGGGGATGTTTACCATGTCATGTTCATCTTGTTGGAAGTATCTTTGTTTTGACAGCGTTGTAATCATTCTGCTTTGTGTGTCCTGCTTTGTAGAGCAGGAATTGAAAGTACTAAAGATGAGAGAAAGGTTGATACTGACGCAGCTACAGTACAGTTGGAGGACTGGTAGAAAAAAATAAATAGGTTGAGAAGGAAGAAGCAGGAAATGGCTAAACACTAAGTTGCTTGGGAGAATGGCAGAAGGTCTATGCTGCTGAGTTATTTTCTCTGCTGGTAGAATTACCCTTCTGTTTTGAAATCTTTTGAAGGGGTGGAGTGAAGACCAGCAGTTACTAAGGTTTTGATACGCTTGAGGATAGAGCTCCCTTTCAGAGGGACAGAGACTGACCGGAGGAATGAGCTGCCCCGAACATTATGGAATTCAGCAAGGACAAATGCCAAGTCCTGCCCTCGGGAAGGAATAACCCGGACAGCAATATAGGCTGGAGACTGACTGTTCAGGACACAGCTCTGCTGAGAAGTACCTGGGCATCCCAATGGACAGCAAACTGAACAGGAGCCAGGATGTTCTGTGGCAGCTAAGGTGGCCAAGAGTGTTGTGGGCCGTTTCAACGGGAGCATAGCCGGTAGATTGAACAAAGCGATGATGATCCCCCCTCTACTCAACAGCTGCAAGACCATGCCTAGAATATTGTGACCAGTTTTGAGCACCCAATACAGGAAAGACATAGATACTGCAGCAAGTTCAGCAAAGGGCCACCAAGACGATTAGGGGGCTGAAGCACCTGTCTGTGAGGAAAGGCTGATGGTACTAGGCTTGTTCAACCCAGACAGGCCTTCGGGGCGGGAGGAACCAAACTGTTTGCCAGTACTTGCAGGGAAGTCATCAAGAAGATGTAGCCAGGCCCTTCACAGTGTGGTGATGCATGGTGGGAAGAACAGGCAAAAGCTGAATTGAGAAAGGTTCTGACTATGTATAAAGAAAAACTTCTTCACCCTGAGGACAGTCAGGCAGGGGAACAGGTTGTCCAGAGATGTTGTGCAGTGTCTGTCTTCAGAGCTTTTTATGACTAACGTGGATAAAGCCCTGAGTAAGCTGGTCTGTCCTCCTAGGTGACCCTGCTTTGAGCAGGAAGTTAAACTAGAGACCTCTTCAGATCCCTTCTAATCTTAATTATCCTACAGTTTACAGTCATTCATGTACATTATAAATTTGTGGGGGCTTTGATGGAAGGAAAATGTCATTCCTCCATTGCCCTTTGGATTTGGATAAGGAGGTTCTGTACAGACCGTATAACCAGAAGCTGCAGCAAGCTCATGCTGTTTTAATGGGTCCCTGGCAGCTTCAGACTTGACATGCAGCTCCACTTTCTGGCATCAATATGAACATTCTGCTTGCTTGGTGGTGAGAATCTGTCAAGGTGTGTGCTAATTAAAGGAATATATGATAATTTATTTGTGAATTTGAAGTGACATTGCAGCCCTTGATCTTACAAACTGCCTTCAGAAGAAGATGGGATAAGCCACCATTTTAGGCACACCGGAGCAGCTGTTGTGGCAGATGTGGGTTTGTGTGGGAGTCTTCAGAGGAAGCAAGTATCATTTGAGAATGGCTTTAATGATGGGAGAATTTTGAAAGGCCTTTTATTAAGTGTCCTGCAGAATCAAGTTTTATTTACAAATGCAGTTGTTATGTTAGAGGTAATACCCATAGAGTTCTTGTACAGCGCATCTACTAGTGCATCGTAATGCTGAATTAAGGATAGGCAGGTTAAGGCACACTGAGACTACAGGGTTGGGGGGGGGGGGGGTTTTGGTTTGTTTTTTTAGAGGCTTCAATTTAGCTGTGGATGAAAGCTATTCTCTAACTCAGATAAAGTGAGATAAAGTATATCTTTCATTTGAAAGGCTGGAAATGAAGATGAGGGAGCCAAACTCTTCTCAGGACAAGAGGCAGCGGGTACAAATTGAAACACATGAAATTCCACCTGAACACAAGAAAACTTTTTTTTAATGTGAGAGCGGTCAAACACTGGAACAGGTTGCCCAGAGATGTTGTGGAATCTCCATTCATGGAGATAATTGAACACCTGGCTAGACAAGAGCCTGGGCAACCTGTTATAGCTGACCCTAGCAGCTAGATGGTTGGACAAAATGATCTCAAGATGTCCCTTCCAACCTAAAGAATTCTGTGATTTTGTGAAGTTTCCACTGACATGTAGCTCTTCTTTTCTCTCATGTCTCTTCTAGGTGGTGGATTCCCAGCTGGCTTGCATGATGAATGAGAACAGCATAGATTACATATCTCGTTTTAATGACCTTGCCCAGGAACTGTCAATACCTGAGCCAACCCGCAGGGAAATTCTGTTTGATGGAGGCGGTGGTGGTCCCCCAATTGGGGATCTCTCACAGTGAGTGTATGAGACCAGCAGGCTGGTGTAGACTGCTCAGCTAAAGTTGGAGCTTGCAGCGCTGGATCATGGCAAGGGCAGGTTGTCGAGAAGCAGCTGAGGCTCAGTTGTCCCTGTCTTGTGCACTTCTTTGTAAAAGAGAAGCGTTGTCTTCAAAGGTCTGAAGAAGTACTTGCAAGTCCTGGAACGTGCAATATACTGGGAACAACAAAACATGCAATAGTATTAAAGCAAGTGGTGTGTCCCCTGCATCAGTGATGTAAGATGGCAGGTTTATGGGGCAGTCCTGGACTCAATACTTTGGAATGGCCTAAGCAAGAAGCTCAAGCAGGGAAGGGTATTGCCAGAAGCTCCCCTATGTGAATTATTTTTTGCATAGTAATCAAAACGCCATGTTTTGGGATCCATATTGAAGTTATGGAGGATGAAGGGTGTGGGTGGGTATGGGAATCACTTTGCATCTTGACATGTCCTAGTTGGCACTCTTTTTATCAATCAGTCAAACTGAATTTTCTTGCACTCTCTCAAAGGCGCTGCAACTCTACGATGCTTCATTTTTATAGACCATTCTGTTTCTTTGGCTATATTTTGTTGTTTGACCATTCCAGCAAGGGAACGTACCTGCTTGCTTGTTTTGTAGGGGAGCTCTGATTCACCCTACTCCCAGATTGCATGGATCCTTGGGGATTTTCCTCTATTTTTAAACCCCGTCACATGTCACAATCATCGTCATCCTGACTGCACTCATATTCTCCACCTTTGAGATTCTTCATCACATTGCACTGCTCGCCCATGAGTGGAAGAGTGCTTTTTTCGTTTCCCTGAAGAACGGTTGCTTTTTAAGTCAGGAAACACTGCAAAAGAGCTTACTGGAATCACTATGAAAGCTTTGTCATAGTTAGTCTTAGCTTTGCTGGAAACCTGTATATATTGCCATCTTTCTTGACAAAAACTGAGGATTTACCTGGGAGAGGAAATAGGAAAGAATATTGTAATGTATAGAAACAAATAATATGTTAACGCTAAAGTTGTTGAGATCTGTTTTGTCATGAAGAGGAGAGGTGTCAAGTCCTAGCTTAATCCCTTAGTCCTTGGTTATTTTCTCCTTGTTCTGTGAATTCAGTGTGCTCTGTAGTACCTCAGGGCATCACTTTTCATTGTAGTTCACTCCCAGGCACTAGTGGATCTGGTGCTCCCTCTACTAAATCCCTAAGCATTTAATGTTAGTGTTTTAATGTTTGAAGGACACAGATCCTGATACCAGCGGGTTCAAAGGAATAAAAGTTATTTCTCTATAGCTGGTTATCCGTCAGTTCTGCCCTTACAACTCAGGAGACTTTTCCTATTTCCTTTCCTACCAGTCATGAGAGAGAATACCTTTATTGTGCCCCTTTTTTAAGCACTTGTCTGCTTCTCCAGTAAGAGGATGTCCCTTGGCTATTTTAAGTAGCTCTGAACTTATCCAAGGGGCTAGTCCTATACAAACCTCAACTCTATATTATTAATAAATAAAACTGCTCCATCTCTTAGGCTATTATCAGGGGTTCATTTTCCCAACTTGCACTATACTTGGTGGATGTAGTTCTGCCTGCCTTTAGCTACTTTTATAAGGCATTTGACTGGGAGTTTCTTCTTGTAACCTTGCTCACGATGCACTGACTGGATTTGCTGTTTTCCCGGTCACTTCACCCTGCTTTATGTAGATTATTTTTTTAACCGCTATATAGTTTGCCTTACGCTTTCTATCACTAAGAGAAAATGTAACAAGTTTTCTGATGCACCTTTTGTGTGGCCCAGAGCAACCTTCCTGGTTTCACTCAAACAATAGTGAGATTTGGATAACATTCCAAGACCCCACCTATCGGGTTGCTACATTCTCTCCTTTGACATAGGAACCACGCAGATGTGTAAAACCAGCATTGGTACAACTGGATGTTCCCAGCAGGGAGGCAAAGCTGTGTTACTGGCAAGAAAACAATCATGCCTAGAAGAACGGAGAATTTCATCCCTGTGGGCTAACTCCCGATTCCGACTGCGTGTCATGTGGGATATTAAGTCCTTCTGTCGTTACTTCTTCCATTATTCTTACAGAGCCTTGTCTGGGAGTTCCGATGCAATTATAAGGAAATCATGTAGACCCAGAATATAAAAAGTTAAGGCTGTCAGAAAAAAGAATGCTGAGGAGTGTATCGCTCTGCGCGTTCACCCTTGGTAGGGAGAGGATACCCATTAACCTCACGAGTCATTCCCTCTCAAACTTTAAAGTTTCACTTAGAGTTGAGCTGTATTCTGGTTTGAGCTTTTCCAGATTGTTTCCTCTTGGCTTTGGCGTCTTACATTAGTAATGCTGATTATCCTGTATGCTGTACCTCCAAAAATCCTTTGGTTTTGCAGGACAAAAGTAGAGGGCTCCTACTGTAGCTGTGGATTACAGGACATGCAGGAGGAGATGTGATACATTCTAATCAAGTACTGTATAAAAAAAAATCCAAACTCTCATTCTTGAACTTCAGAATACTGAAAGACTAGCCCGATGGCCTCCAGTGTATTTAGGTAGCTTGACAAACATTTCATCTTCTTTATCCGTGCTGGTAGTGGAGTGGGTGCGACACTGGTTTTGACTCCTTGGTGGCCTAGAACAAGAGCCAGTGTTGTTGCACCTATATGGCCAAGCACATCAAGACCTGGAAAGAGTTTCTGACCTTGGATACGGGGAGCTGTCAAAGTGCCCTTTCTCGGCCCATTCAGTTGCCATAGGGGAGTAACAGAATTGCAGAATTAAGTCAGCATAGTGGCTATTTTTAATGATGCCATGAGATCAGAGAATGTTAATATCCTGACCCTTTGCAATTAGACTTGGACCACCAAGTAATAACAACAGTGGAAATGACAGAGGTCAGTTCTGCACTCAGAATTTTGTGGTTAGAAACATGTTTGGCATCAGCCTCTTAAAAATTGTCATTATGAAACAGAATTTGGTTTTAGAAATGTAATGCTTTGCAAACTGCAGTTTAATGATAAAGCCCTTTCAGGACAAGTAAGTCTTATCAGGGAAAAATTTGGAAGTAACTTGGATCATTGTGTTAATTTTTAATTGATACAGAATTTGTTATCCTTATTATGGGAAAGGTCACTTAAACATACCTCTTGACTCCACCAGTTCTAGATTTTAGGTGGATGTATGTGCTTTACAATACTAGTCATCATCAGATTGTGCCTAAGACTGCTTAAGCGAAAAACTGGGGGGTGTGTAGGGGTGTGTGGAGGTGTGTATATATGCACACACACATTATGGTTTTGTAAAACACAAAACTTTCTCAATTTTAATTATTTCAGCTTCCCCAGCAGAAGTAACAAAATCCATGTGTGTAACAGCGTCAGCCTATCCTAAGCAAAATTCAAGCAAGTTATGCTGAAACGCACGCAGGATTGTTTCTGAGGTAAATGTGACTTTGTTATTAGCTTGGTAGCTTCTTGGGGTGCTGAGAGGACAAATGGACACTAACAACCTCCAGTGCTAGTATGGATTGCTCTAGGCTTTCCCCATGTTGGTTTAGGGACTATATGTAATAAGGAAGTTATAGCAGAAAATTCAGTATTTGTTGTCATCATGGTCTGGGTGAACAGCAGTACTCCATCCTAAGAATTAGACCTGCCTCTGTGTGCATGTGTGCGCTAACTGGGTTTTTTGCTGGGTGTTGCGTCCTGATTACCCCCACAATTCATTTTATCCGTTATCACTAAATCTACTAAGCATAGGAATACTAATTGTTTTTAATACGGCATCGTTAAGCCTTTTCTTGACACCCCTCTTTATATTTCTAAATTTAATTAAATGGCTTGGATCAAATCTAATCTATAAAGACATCTCATTTACTGACTCCGCAGAGCCCAGAGTGGAAATTAAGTTGCGTTTTGTTTTTTACACTCAGACTTCGGATGCATTTATAAGGAAAGTACTGCACTTTTTTTTAACCTTTTCAAACCTTTGAATCTCTTAATTTCACAGCAATTTGTAAATGTTAAGTAAGTGAAACCTTGGCAAGCACTACGGCAATAAGTTATCATTAATTATTGAAATATGATAACTGCTTTAGAGCTTATGGTTCTGGCAGCAAAATTTAATGCTGTTTCTTTTAATAATAGTTAAGCCATATCATCTAAGGTTTCTGGCTTGTTTGAGATGTGAATTTGTTTTATAGATTATAAATATACCTATATAGTGTATGTATAAAGCAGAATGCCTGTCCTTACTGATTATTTTTTGTACCATATTGTAAATTATATTATTTATTCTTTACCAATTTTGGAAAAAGGTGTTTTGGTTATTTAATATAATATACAAAAGCTGTTAAACTTCCTCTGTTTAAATTTCCAATTCAACTTGTAAAGCTGTTTTTATTCTTGTGCATAAATACATACTAATACTTGGTCTAACTTATGTCCAGTGTGTTACTTGCCATTCATGCCCCATAAGATTCTTTCATTTAACCTTTATTTACATAATAATGGCCCCTGGAAACGTGTCCATAAGGCCAAGCCTTCCAAGGTGAAATTTTGGCTTCAGTGAAATCAGTGGCATAGCTGCCATTGACATCTCCCATCTCAGAATTTTCATGATTCTCACCATGGTGAGAGAAGGTTTTGGTTGGGTTGGGGTTGTTTTGCTTTACAGCTTCCTTTCCCAGTAGGTTCTGCTAATTGTGAGTGTCAGGAGTGGGTCAGACCAGAGGGTGGGCTGCCCTGAGTGTCCTGTCTTTGTCCATGGTCACCAGCAACAAGGGGAAGAAAGGAAGAAGAGAAAAAAGAAAAGAAAAACCCAACCAACCAAAAAACCCCAACTAACTCCCAGAAGAACCCACCAAGCCCAAGGGTACAATAAATATATCTTGGTTTCTATTTTCCCCCCTAGCTTTTTTTTTTTTCCCCCTTCACAGCTTCAGATAAGCAGGAACTTAGATGTAGAGATTGTATTCAGGCCATCATGTTTTATATAGCCACTACCAGAAAAACTTTCCACCCCAAGGACAGTCAGGCAAGGGAACAGGTTGCCCAGAGAGGCTGTGCAGTGTCTGTCTTCAGAGCTTTCCAAGGCAAAACTGAATAAAGCCCAGCGGAAGCTGGTCTGATGTAGCTCATCCTGCTTTAAGCAGGAGGTTAGACTATAGAGCTGAGGTTCCTTTCCAGGTGGATTATTGTGTGATCTATGTCATTAACTTAATCCCTTCTGTACACATTTTTGGTCTCTGCAATACACAATGGCAGCTTTAGTTTAATTATGCGTTGAGGAAGTACGAGAGTGTTCTTAAACTAGATCATAAGACATTAAGAATGCTTAAAAAGCTCAACAGAAACCTTATTAGTAATATTCTTTGGTGCTTCCTTTCCATCCAAAGAGTGAGGACTCATCTACCACTGAGAAAACTGGAATAGACGACCAAGCCTGAGCTCTGTCTGTGCAGCTTCTGACCTCCACCCTGCTGTGGCAAAGGCACACAGCTAAGGGAGACGTTCAGTTCTTTTCCACCTTATGTCAAAGCTGGTACTAAACCCTACTGCTTTTTCTCACAGGTTATCTAATTTTGCCCTTAATGACCAAAATTTAATACTGTAAAAACAGAAGGAATACATCAGAAATAAAGAATGATTAGCAAAGCAAGAGGTTGCAGGTAGAGTACATATTTTTGGTGTGTTATTTTTTTGTTGTTTTTTTTCTTTTAATTATTTAAGACAAAAGCAGCAATATGGCTGCCTCTAAATTTACTTCTTGGCATATGGAAAGCTGTGGAGCCATTAAATAAAATCTTCAGCTGAAAATTTTAACTTGTAATGTTGCTAACAATGAAAAACGTTTGGTTAACAAGGCCATCAGCACTGCCAAGTGCTGATTCCTTGGCCGTGGCCCTGTCAGCTCCTGGAAACCCATGGCTTTCCCCGGGCAGTTGCCTGGCGCTGCTTCAGCGGCAGCCGCAGCGTGGTAAGCGCTTCATGGGCACAGTTCCCGGTGATGGAGAAAGAGGTGAGCTACAGCCATGGGTGGTTCACAGCCAGGGTGGGCGCGGGGGTCGATAACCACGTATGCGCATTGCCTCCCCGGCCAGGCTGAGGGGCAAGCCCAGCGGGGTGCAGCGGAGGCCCCCAGCAGCCGCGATGCCGAGGTCGCTGGGTTACAAAGCCGCCTCTGAGGTAATTCGTCACGGCGGTTCCTCCC